GGGTCTTGACTAAACTCTGGGTGAACAGTGTCAAAGTGGTTGCAGCTTCCCCATCCGATGGATGACACATAATACTGGGGTCCTTTTCATTCTCGCTATGCCATCTCATGTGAGGTGCACTTGGTCATTGAAGAGTATAACCTTTTAAGTCTAGGAATAATTGGAAAGTACCACATTTTTTTAATAGAAATCTTTTTCTCAACTCCCCTCCTAGTGACAATCTTGTATCGATCCATTCCACATATAAAACAATTAGTTATACTTTTAGATTAATTTTCATTATAATACAACATGCATCCGTTTGGACAACAATCAATTTTGACACAACCTAAACCCAATTTTATCATCGACTTCTTAGCTTGGTCAAAATTCGCAGCCATTTGATGATCTTCTGGCATAGTCTCTCCCATAAATTGGACCATTCTATTAAAACATCATTCAACCATATTATAATTAGATTTCAAGCTTAGAGCTTCCAAAGATGCTGACAATTCAGAGTGATGTGTATATCCTTCCCACAACTGTGCTTGCACAGCAGCAAGCATGTCAAAGAATTTTTTAGTATCAGGATTAGGGTTTTCTGCCATGTCCTCTTCTCTAATTTCACTCTCGGTTTGAAGTTGGTGTCCAAGTGAGGGTCTGACATGATCCATAATCATTTGATGGAAAGGACCTAATTCTTCCCTTTATTGAAAAGTTCCATGTGATCTCTCAACAACCACTGCGGGAAATTCTGGCGACTTTTCACCATGGTTTGTCCACCAATAATAATTAGGCATGAATCCCTCTTGATAAAGATCTCATGCAACTTGATCAACAAACTTAAAAACTTTACACTTAGATTTAACACAAGGACATCTTAACATTTCACCTTGTTCTTGAAACATAGGTTGAGCAATAACATATTGTAGGAAATGATACACTCCTTCTCTAAATTCATCTATTAAATGCTTTCTACCATCCAATCTTTGATACATCCACATTCTACCAACGGGGATCTCCATTCTTGCAAATTAACTACAACAATCAGCATAAGTGAAACTACATTATTCACTTTATTTGATGTAGTACTTATGTTTTTCTAATACATTTTTTCCAAGGTATTTATCCAGTACTTATCTAGTTATTTGATGCAGTACTTACAACATTGACATAAATAGTATTAAAGGTTAATCTGATTAAGTTGTCACACAATCTGAATCACACAAATTGTGTGCAGTTTAGCCTAAATATTCCAAAACATAATCCGATGATAATCCAAATGGAACCACAACATAACAACCATCCCATAACCGGATCTTAGACTATATAATCACCACCCAAGCAAAGCCATCTAAAATTATAACAACGCATGAGAACCTATTGAAAGTGATGAAGATCTTATTGAATTACTTTAGCAAAGATCTTGTTGATTTGATGAAGTCAAAAATGAAGTCAAAGGCTACTATGTTGCAGTCAAAGGTCACTTAGATAAAAGGGTAGAGTGATTAGTGAGTCTGCATCTTTATTTAGGTATAATCATTTTTATCTCTCTACTGCATGAGATTTTCTTCATTTAAAAGATTTTGCAAATGCCTCTAAAACGTGTTTAAACGGTTAAAAACAAAGTATTTTGTAAAAAGGTTTTTAAGTAACTATTTTAACTAATAGTATATAAGCTTTATCAACTAAAATGTTCTTAACACTTTTGTAACGAGGTTTTTAACCGATATGTTTTCGAAATAATCGATTGTTTTCATTAGAAGGATTTTTTGAAAACCTTCTCACGATATTTTAACCGATATAGAATTGATATAATCGATTAAAATGACTTAGAATATTTTGAAAAGTGTTCGGAAGAATTTTAATCGATACAAACTTGAAATAATCGATTAAAATAACTTGAAGTGTTTTGAAAGTTGTTCTGTCAGTATTTTAATTGATACAAATGTGAAATAATCGATTAAAACAACTAAGAGGTTTTTCTAAAATGTTTTAATCGATTAAAACAAGCATGCTATTAGTTAAAATAACTTAGAAAGTTTTATGAAATCTTTTGGCAGAATTCTAATAGATTAAAATGTGTTTCAATCGATTAAAATAACTAAGTAAACTTTTTCCAAAGTGTTTTAATCGATTAAAACATATTATTATCGATTAAAATCACTTAGAAAATTTTATGAGAATGTTTAGCAGTATTTTAATCGATTGAAAGACGAAACAATCGATTAAAACAATTTGAAAGATTTTTTACAAAGAGTTTTAATTGATATAAATGTTGTCGTATCAGTTAAAACAAATCTGGAAAATAATCAAGAACATTTTAACAGATTAAAAGAAGTTTTAACAGATTAAAACAAGACTTTTAACAGATTAAAAGATTATTTTAATAGATTAAATAAACCAGCAGTTTGAAAAATCTTTTATATAAACATAATTGCTTGAACCTTTTGAATCACATCTTTTGGCAATCAATCATGCAATCATAAGTGCTACTTTCAAGAGGGAATCGCGCTAGTTTTGTGAAGTTCTTAGAAGTTCTTTCTTGAGGCAATATTTGCATTCTTTTGGAGAAGAAACTCATTCTGCAGAGCTGCATAAACCTGGTTTAGGTGTTCTAGTTTCTTCTCTTTGTTTATTTACTTTTCTTTTCTGTATTGTGGGTGCCTAGAAGTGTGGGCACTGGTTTCTGTGGTTGGAATTTGGCTACAAGGTTGGTCAAGAACTGAAAATTGGTTCTTGATGAAGGTTTAGGTGCAAGGACTGGAATTTTGGTTCTTGTGATAAATTGAATGTGTGATTAAAGTTGTAATCTGTAAAATGTTCAATCTAGTGGAACCCAGCTGGAATTTGGCTGGAAACTGGACGTAGCCCTCGGATTGGGTGAACCAGTATAAATTTTGGTTGTATCTTTCTAAACATTTCTTTCTTTAATTCTGTCACTGTCTTTACTTTGATTGTTTGCTGTGTTTGATTCAAGAATTTGTCAGAATTCTTAATCTTTGAAATAGATAATCTGTAAATTTCGAAAATCTTTCAAAGATCAATTCACCCCCCCTCTTGATCTCAGCCTACATTACTAACACCTATAATTAATCGCCACTTAAATCCATAATCAGGGACGCAGGGGAACACAATCAAGCAAACCAAGGCAAATATATACACTGAATGCAAAAAAACTAGGCAGCCACAATACATACCAAACTCAGATCAAATCCTATTAACTTCCCAACTCTCAAACAACATTAATCCAAGCCAAACAAGGTCAGATCCAACATCAGCAAACAAGTAAAACAATATATCCGAATCAAGATTAACCCAAAGCAAAACAACATATCTGATCAATCAAGATTAACCCAATCTGGAAAGAAGAATAAGGATCAGATAAAAATCATCAAGTGAAGGGGATCCGAACCAAGGAGGAAGATGAACGTGATGGGTGTGAAGGTGACCTAGGGTTTGGCTGGTTGACACTGAAAAGTCATTATATTCCCGTATTTTCTTCCCTTTCTGAACTTATTTTAATTAGTATTTTTGGCTTAACTTTTTATTATTAGTGAATTTTTATTAATTGGGCTTCATTGGGCCAATAATTTAGATTTTAATTAATTTGAATCTATTTGATCTAATTTTTGCTCATTATTAATTTTAGGACAGTTTAAAACAATTTTGAGCCTAGAAGATTAGGCCAGATGTCATATTACAGTTTAAAGCAAATTTGGGCTTGGAAAATTGGGCCAAATGTCATATTTTATTTTATATGGGTACTAACATTGGTTCACTATTTTATTTATCATTTTTTTCTACAGATCTTCAAAAATCATGATTCTGAAATCATTATACACTAGACACATTCAGCTTTCCATAGGATCCAAAATCATTCAATTCGGAGCTAAATTGGATTTTACATAAATTATCCAAAATGGGTCAAGCGCACTAAGCCGGTCCAATGAACATGCTTCAGTAATTTAAGTCTCCTAAATTCATTAGACCTCCGAAAATAGTAGAAATAGTGGTGTTTTAAAGATAACTCATAAGGCTTTCAAAGGAGTCAAAAATCGCTTAATTTAGATAAGTATTGAAAACACTGCACGTGTTTGAAATTCACGGACTTGCACTAAAGCCAACTTTTGATGTGTTTCATGGACCAGTTGAGGCCAAACCTCGATTAAGATAAGGGTTAGGGTTATTTATATAAGAGAGACACATCACACATCAGACATCACACGACACACAACACACAAGGACTGTGCAGCTACCACATAGTTGCCTTTCATCTTCTACAATTTATATTCAAGTTTGTTTACTCTTCTATTATTATTTTAAATTCTTGTTTCGATTTTAATTATGTTTCTTCTACTGCATTTTCGACTTTCCATGCATAGCTAAATCTTTGTATTGATTTTCTAAGAAGAATGCAAGTAGATCTTTGAGGTTTTGTTCTTCAATTTCATTTCGTTTGTTCTCTTAACTCTTCATCTTCTAATCTCAGTGTTGAATTATAATTTGTTTATGCTTAATAAACCGAAACTAATATCACAGTTTGTTTAATTCTGTGTTAGATATGAGATTATGTGATGTATGCAATACTTAATTATAAAAGGATAATTTGGAGTTAATCTTCGCTTAGTTGGTTAATTTTATGATGAAATAAGGGTTAAGAAAATTTTGGGATTAATCTTCGCTTAGTTGGTTAATTTCATATTGGAACAAGGATTAAAGCTAATTTGAGATTAATCTTCGCTTAGTTCATTAATTTTTTATTAGAATATAATTTGGGATTTATCTTCGCTTAGTTGGTTAATTTCGAATTAATTTCGCAATCTAAAATAAGTGACACTATATTGAAATCAAGAAATCAATTACATTTTAATCTATTTTTAATCCGCATTTTTATAATCTGATTTTGTTCTGTTTAATATTTTAATTTTAAAAACCCTTTTTTGTTATTGTTCTAATTTGAAAAATATCAAATTTGGCGTCATTGTTGGGGATCCGAGTACGCCGCTCACGGGAAGCACATGGGCCGTTGGCCGTGTGATGAGGAGGACTCCCGCAGGGCTCATCCTAGTGGCTGGTAGTAGTGGCTCGCAGTGGTTGTGATTGGGGTTTGGGAGTCCAGACAGCAGGCGATTCGTGGTGCACGGTGAAGACAGTGGTTGTGGAAGGTGGCCAGGGTCGAATAGGAATGGGTGTTTGAGGCTTTTAATTAGGGGACGCGAACAGTTGGGAGAAGATGTGTGAGGGGGGGGAGGGGGGGGTGGCTGCCGCGGTGACCGTGGCAACGGGTTTGGGTTGCTGAGGCACAACAATTCGGATGGTTGATTGGAGGAGTGTGAGATGCAGAGAAAAATGGGGAAAGAGGTGAATATGGTGATAGGCGGGAATAGGCGGACTCTGGCAGATTCGAAAGGAGATGTCTGTGAGTGAGAAATGGGTATTTGTGGGTTGAGTGCGGGTGGAGAAAAAAATTGTGTGGAGGTGATGAAAGGAGAAGTGAATGGAGGAGAGGAAGAGTGGATTTGGGAAAGATCTAGGCCAGAGGAGAGGAGGAGGTTAACGGCGGGGGTGATAGGGTCTGCTAAAGGAGAAGAAAAAAAGGGTATTTTGCTGCCACAGGTCTGCAAAGATTAGGCTAGCTCTCTAAGTGAATGATGGAAAAAGAGGAAATGACAAATGGGGAAACTCGTGTGAACCCTGCGAGTACTAGAAATGGAATTGGGAAGTGAAGGTGAGGAGCAGGTGGTAGGAGGTGGAGGATGCGAGTAAGGGATTGCCACCTGAAGGGAAAATGGTGACGGGGATGGTGGATGAAGGGAGAATTGTATGAGCCGTTGGAAGATGAGACCAAGAATGGGCGAGGATAGGATGGGCCACCAAAAATTAAAAGAAAACCTCTGCGAGTAAATGCTTGGAATCCCTTATTGTATGACGGCTCCGCCTTTCTCTCATCATGTCTTCTCTCATGTAAGTTCCTAAATTAGGTTAAAAATAGTGTAACAAAATTTTAGAATGGATTTGGCCCACAACATATTGGAATAATATATATTTTAATTTTTCTTAAAACAGTTTTATTTTATTTTTTTAATTTATTTTTATATTATTTTTTTATTATTTATAATTTTTTTGTTTTTCCATTTTTTATTGTTTTTTTTTCTTTTTTTCTGTAAAAAGAAAAAATGTTAGCAAGAGGGAACTTTTTATTTCTTTTTCTTTTTTCCTTTTTTTTATATTTTCAAAATAAAGTATTAAGAAAAATGGAACCTTTTTTTTCTTTTTTAAATTTTTATTATTATTTTCAAAATAAATGCTACTATTTATTATTATCATTTTATTTTTATTTACTTAGACAAATTGGGTGCTGACACTTCAAAAAAAAAAAACCAAAAATGGAATTTTTTAAGATTAAGGAAATTTTGGATAAGTTTCTCGGAATCACTAGTCTCTCCTTGTAATACACCCTGCCCTTTTAAAGTTTATAGCCCAGCTATGCTGCCATGATCTCAGTCCTAATTTTATACTTCATCTCAAAATCATACCCTAAGTTGAGTGAAATTTTTATTTTGGGGAATCTAAATTTGAGAAACACTCATGTTTGGTTTACCTTTTAAAAAATAACAATCATAGAACACAATGTTTCTCAAGAATGATATTTTGCCAAATTTCCCAAATTGTCAGAACTTTTATTATATTCTGCAACTTCTCGCTCTAAAAGAATTTCCAATTTTGAAATAACACTGATTCAAACATGAAATTAGCACATAATAGTACAAAGAATACCCAACCAACTATGTTAGTGTGATGCCACTGGAATCGCATGAAGAAGTAAATCTTGTTCAGAAAATAGATACAACATACGTATTTAAGACATTCTGAAAAATTTTAAAATCAAACAACTATATGTAAGCTTGCAATCAAGAGAAACAACAAGAACCCTAACTGCGTAGAGGAAGGTGGATGGTGCGACGGTGTGGTGGATGGCATGGCGGTAGACAATGATGCAGCACTGACCGTTGACCGAAAGAGTGAAAGAGAGGGAGCGGTTATAGAGTGAAAGAGAGGGAACAACGACCGAGTGAAAGAAAGGGAAAAGAGAACTGAATCCTCAACACTAAGTATAATATATTTTTTTAATTAATTAAAAATATTACTATTATATATTAATATTTAATAAAGAATTTATAATATAAATATTAAAATATTAAAGATAATATTATATTTTTCCAAAAGATAATAAATATTTTTAATTCATTATTTATAAATTTAATAAATTAAAAGATATTAATATTATTCATTCATCATTCAAGAAAAAAAATTTAAAATATAAATATTAAATATTAAAAATAATATTATATTTTTAAAAACAAATTATAGAAAAAGGTTTAGAAACATATATAAATTATATTTATATATACAAAATATTAAAGATATCCACATTTAAAAAAATACTAAAAAATATCAAAAAACTATACTTTAAATTGATGAAATATATTTAAAAAAAAAGTTATATTTATTAAAGTATTAAAAAATATTTTGTAATATATAAGTTACAAAAATTTTCATTAAAATTTTTAATAATGATTAGTTTTCTAATTTATACACAATGAAAATAAATTACAAATATTATATAATATATTGGTATATTAGTATAGTATAGTATATTTGTATTCTAATTTTTAATTAAACTAAAATTATGTTAATAATGTATAATAATATATGAGGAGATAATAAATTTAATCCAATTTCTTATGTATATATCCTTTTTTAAGTTCTTTTTTTTTTAAACTTCTCACGCTCTACATTTTTTTTAAACTCTATCATTTCTACTACATTATCATCCTTATCTCCTCCCACGCTCTATTTTATCTTTACTATAATTAGTCTTTTTTTATAGGATACTTTATTTTCTATTTTTATTATTTATTTTCTTATAATTTAAAATAATTAATATTATTTTAACATTTATTTTTATGATTTTTACTATAATAAATCAAATAAAATGATTCGATAATATCAATTAATTAAAATCATCACATCAAAAGTTTAGATAACAACATTAAAATTATTAATTTTAAAAATATAAAATATATTTTAAAATAAAAATACTAAAATTATAGATTGGAAAGAAAATAGAATGAACAAATATTTTTTACTTTATATTATATTTAAGTGTGTGTACGAATGTTAACCTTCTTAACTATAAAAAACAATAACAAATATAAAGATAGAATTTGAAAAAGTGAATTTTGAAGATAAATATTATTTTTATATAAATTTATTCTAGTATATCAATTAACAATAATAATACATAAAATTTAAAAACTAAACTAAAAAAAAGTAAGTTTAAATTTATAAAAAAATTGAAATTTTAAAAAGACACAGACCTTAACTTACATTAACTATTTTTTTTAAGTTAACAAGAAAATCTGGGCTTTGAAAAAAAAAGTTAATAATTTTGAAGTTATACGTGATCTATGCATTTCTTGAGTAAAATTGGAGGTATGTTGAATATAGATTTAAATATATTTTTAATTTATTTAAATATGGTTTATTTTTAGTATTTATAAAATAAATTAATTTTAAATTTTTAACCTTTTTAGCAAGTCTATTTGTAATCTTTATTATTAATTATGTTAAAAATGAAAAATATTAATTAGTATACTTAAATTAAAAAATATTTCAACTAAAGATAATTGTATTTTTATAAATAATTTAATTACATAATATATTTATTATTTAATATATATCAATTATATTTTGATATAAATATGTTTCCGGTATATCAATTATGTGAAAACAACCCTGGTTAAGCAATTAATAATACACTACTACAGAATGATCTTTCAACGTCGGGTGTAGAAGGCATTCAATGTCGGTTCCAATGACGTCGTTGAATCAGGCGTCATTGAATGTCAAAGGATTCTACGTCAGTTCAGAAAACCCGATGTTGAAAGTGCTAGAAATCTACGTCGGTTAACCAAATGTCCGTTGTAGAAATGAGTAAATTCTACGTCGGTTATTTAACTAACTGACGTTGAAAGTTATATATACAACGTCGGTTAGTTCTATGACCGACGTTGAGAGATATATACTACGTCGGTTAATGCAATAACCGACGTTGTATATTTCTTACAACGTCGGTAATTGCATTAACCGATGTAGAATATCCCCTTTTTTTTTTAATAATGCTCTGTTTTTAGTGTCACCAACAGTGATACGACCTGCTATAATCTCAGTCATTAACAGTATATATATTTCAGCTAATCACTATATATTATTATATATAAAATGATAGGTATATATGTCAAAATCAGCCAAATTATGTACAAAATACACAAAAAATTGTCAATCAATCCTATTTCTAACTACTTGGACAAACTTTTCTTCCCATTTGTTTCTAACCATGTCTATAGTTTCTATAGGCAAAGGTTCTATATCTTTAAATTCCTGTAAGAAGTTTACAAATAGAATGGTAAACCCTAAGCAATTAAAATAAAGGAATTGAATATAATAGCAAATGTCAACTTACCTCATTCCAACTATCCTAAATGCTACCAAAAATGATGAGCCACATCCAATACATTACATAGTAGCCGCACTCAGTATCCTCCATTTTGTTTGTTACACTAAAAATGACTAAATATGTTAAAAATAACTATTAAATTTGAACATAAAATAGATAGTATAATATATATAAAGGCTACTTACTTTGATAAAATTCCAATTTGGAGTTGTGCTTTTACTTGTGTGTTTTCCATCTAATGTACTCGCAAACCTTTAAAGCACTATATATTGAAAAGAAGGGGCTTAGAAATAGAATAATCAAGATGTTTAGACATAATATAAGAAATACTTACTCGTTTACAATGTTTTTTAGCTCCATGTCAGGTTTTCTTCCCAATGAGCAGAACCAACACACAAGATTCTGCTTTGGACAAATAACTAATAGATGACAATGATTTCTGTATATACACATGATTAGAATCTATTAAAAAAACTTGTGTAAAACCAGAAGAGGCTAGGATAACTTACGAATGCTGGTATGCTCCAAGGTAAATATCTCTCTTAGAATCAGTCATCCAATTCTGCATGTAACTGAGAATTTGATCACGCTTATTCCCAGACTTTTGTATGGATTGAGGCTCGAATAATCCATAGACATGACCAATGCCCTGCTCCACTATCATTTCATGCATCATCCTAAAATATGCCAATTTAAGTGAACTTATACCTTATATATTTAATAAAATGAAAAGAGTCATGAAAGATATGAACTTACAATGTCCAAAATTGTAAAACAGCCTATATTTAGACATTGATTGCCTATCCCAATATCCAGGGCATCGATGTGGGAAATGTATAGGGGGATATTGCTAGAAGGCATCCCAAATAATGTAGAATCCCATAGAACTTGGAATGACTGCATATACAAATGTGGGGAAAGAGACAAGAGATCAAAAATTAGATTTGGAGAAGTCCCCACAACTGGTGTCTTCTCCTTAGATCCAGAAGGAGTGGTAATAGCTTTACCCAAGTCTATTGGCTGCTGAACATCCTACATATTTTATAAAATATAATTATAAACAATAAATCAATTTATTTATGTGTTAGATGTATTAATTCCCCCACACTTAGCCTTTTGCACTCCCGGGCAAAATCAAGAAGCAAAGCAAGGAGCAATTCCAAAGACATCGAAGAGAGTGACATAACAAAAAAGGAGCAAGAACAAGAAGACACACAAAACACAAACAAATTTACACAATCCTTAATGAATCCTAGGAAAAGAAAGGAGTAGACAACATCCAACACACAAAGAGTCAGAGGAACCAGATACTCATGGAAATCATCCAAGCATTTCAAAACCTGGCAAGAGGTCAATCAGGTCAAAAGGTGAATCAAAGTGACAAAACCTCACAAGATTGCACTGTATCTCTCATGTGTCTAGGCTACTATATACTCTCAAAATACTCAAGAAAAGCAAACAACAGATAGACTTGGCAAGTCTCTAAACTCAACACCCAACGCACATGCACAAAAAGATCAAAAGGTCTTTTTAGGTTGTAATGGGGGATAAGGTAGAGGATATCATATGGGATAAGTAGCTGTGTACCAGAGGAACTAGAGGAGCAATGGGGAATAAGAAAAAAATAAGCACAAGATGCATGCCCAAAAACCTCTAACAAACCTCTAATATCAAACCTCCTCTATTGTCTTTTGCCTCAACCACAACTTTCCTTATTTATTTTTTTTTTCTCTTTTTTTTTATTTTTAATATATCTTCTTCTTCTTCTTTTTTAACTATATGAAATACACTGAAAGGAAAACACAAAAACTGTACAGCAGAGATAACCAACTAGCCAGTACATCATCCAATGAAATACAAAATGCACCCCCACACTTATTCAATAACTTATTCCCAAAACAATTCCAAAGCTCCAAAAATCCCTAAGGTTAAGGTAATCATGGTTTTTCACTTAAGGCTTTTAATGAGCTTCAAAAGAAATAAAGGGAAACATAGGCTCAAAGGGGCTATCAAAGGAATTAATTCAAGGTAGGCTCATTTGGCTAGAGGCTAATTAGAACAAAAATGCCTTAATCATCTCCAAACATGCATGTGAATCAAGAAGTATCAATCAGAGTCAAGCCAAGGCTACTGCGCAAGCAATCAAGAGGCATAACACTCAAGAAAGAAAGGTAGTGGCTCAATTCCTCACAAAGGGTAAGATTGTCGCCTTCAATTCAACCTCTCAAACATCGTAACCAACTTGACAAGCAGAGAAAAACAGGGATTTCAATCCAAAAAGCATAAAGCAACTCCTATCTAAGAGTGAAGAAAGTACCCAAAACCTAAACAAAACCCAGAGATCCAAAAGAAACATGCAAATTGTACACAAAACATGAACCTGAAATACAAAGAAAACTAAAAATCCTAAACAAAGAAAATAAAGAACAGTCTCCGCCACACTTAAACTACAAATTGTCCCAATGTAGCATAACATCAAATCAAGCAATCAAATCACCAATTGGACAAGTGCAGTAAAAGTAAAGAGAAGG